CCTGACATCAGAGAAATGGAGTGTGTCTTCTCATTGAACTCACTTCATTCACTGTAATTCCACAGCTTATCAGGTCAGGTTACCTTGCAACTTCTTTTTTTGTTTGTTTTAGTGTTTGAAAGACTTGAGATTTAAATGTCTCTTTTAATTAATGCAACCTAGATGACTTCACCTTACTCAGCTTCTTCAGGAAGCAGGGATTCTGGCAAGGGAAGCTCACTGGGATTAGGGCCCACTTCCCTCTGCTGAGATCTTTATTTTAATAGCTACAAAGTGGTCTCACCTCCAGTGTTTTCCTGTCTACCTCTGAAGCTGTGCAGTCCACCCATTGCTGACTTCTGCAGATCCCTTCTTTTTATTCAGCATTTTCACCTCCAGCCACCTTGACCACCCTGGTTGGCCAGTTAAAAGTGGAAGAAAAGCACATGAGGATAAAATAAAGTTTAAAAATCTCACTAAATATGGTAAAGAAATGAAAGAGTGAGGCCCACAGTGATCACAAAAAAGGGAATAATGCCCATCACCACCAAGTAAAGGCTAAAACATCTGGGAAGCATATCTCAGAGGGAAGAATCCTGACCTTCAAGGGAGAAGGCCTCTGTGTGGAGGCAGCTGGGGCAGACTTGGTCATAGAGGCACTCCTTATAATGCAGAAGCAGAAGTAGCAAATTGGCTAATGGTTTGTATTTTTTTGAATGGGGGGAGTACTGGGAATTGAACTCAGGACCTTGTGCTTGCTATGCAGGTGCTGTGCCGCTGAGCTATCTCCCCAGCCCTTTTTTATTTTATTTATTTATATTTTTGGTGGCTAATGGTTTGTAAATGGAGCAGTCTATTTCCTATTCCTACCAATACAGGTGGAATACTCAGGCGGAATAACTAGACAGATAACAAAGAAGTAAGGATTCCTCTTCTACTGAGAAGGAGTTGCCCCAGAGAAAAGACCTCTGCACTCTGAGATTTAGAGAATCTTCATATAGTAATGAGTTTTTCACCTGATTGAAGTTGTCAGTCAACAATCCCAGTGTTCACATCTTTCAATTAGTTTTTATCATTAAAAGGTCATTTAAGGATCATTATAAGAAAGCTTCTACTATGAAAATACAATTTGGAAATGTATTGCATCCATAAAACAAGAACAGAATGCTGTGAAAAATAAATAATTAGAGGAGGAAATCACTCTTGAGCATTACAGTGTGGTTGCTGAAATGTAAATTCAAAAGAACAGTCGGAAGATAAAGCTGAGGAAATGTATTCAAAATTAGAGAGAAAAGAAAAATATTAGAAAAAGATCAGAAACATATTGACTCAACCCAAAGGCCTAAATCCCTAGGGGGAAAAAGGGAAAAATTACAAAGGAACTAATACAAAAGAATGTTCATCTCCAATTTACCAAAAACCTGCAACAGTATATGAAAAAATAAAGATAATTCCAAACATGTGGAGAAGATACCAAAAGCTGGAAGAGATAAATAACAACAAAAAGATGGCCTATAAATAATCAGGAAAGAATTTGTATTAGACTTATCCTCTATATATTGGACACTATAAAACAGTGGAGCAATGTCTTCTGAAATCCAAGGCAAAATGATTTTTCTCCTTGGAGTTTTCTGCCCAGGAAAATGATCACATGTGGAAATAGAATAATATTACTTCCAATCAGTCAAGCAGTTTGAAAATTCACCTTTTCCATGCACACTTTTCTTAGGAAGCCACTTGAGGAAGCTTCAGAAAAATAAGGACAAAAGCCAAGAAGGGAGAGTATGAGCTGCCGGAAACGATGTCACCCAGAAGTGCAGCAGGGGCTATCTCAGGATGACAGGGCCACACCAATAGGACCAGTCGATCTATGTTTGAAGATTGCCTCGCAGGAAGTGAAGAGAACAGTATGAAAGGAAGAGATGCAGCAGTTTCTCCTACTCTCAGTCAAAAGCATCTCCTCAACTTAACATTTGAGCATTTAATTCTACATCTGTACTGCTATTTCCTAACTTACCAGTTTCAGATATCATCCCTTCACTTTCTGCTATGATGGATGAGACTTCAGCTCACACCCCTGTACATATCCTCTCAACATAACTGTATTTTTAGTCTGTTTACCTTCATAACTTTAACTATATATATATAGAGAGAGATACTACAAAGAGCAAGATAAATATTTTAAAGTTACAAAAGTAACCTGCATATATGTGTGTCCACATATGCACACACACCCCTTTATTATTTCCTTGTTAAAGGGAAGGGCATCCTCTTCGTCCCCACTGTGTAGTGGGAAGTGACCTTCCCTTCAATTTTTCTCTGCTCTTTCCTGTTACTCTTTCTGTCTTCTGTAGTTTTATTTTTATATTATCAAGGTTAATAACAGTTGTGTTCTGTTTCATAGTCATCATTCTGACTATTGATTATTATAGAGTAATAACTAAAATTGAAATAAATGTATAATACTTAAATTACATTTATTATGTAAAAATTACCCACTGCACAGCAAGGTAGTACTCAAAGATTGTGTTTTTTATACAGATTTCTTGTATTCTTAGGACTTCTAATTGCCTTCCTTTATAAAAGGTTTGTACTTAATAACCTTATAGACATATATTTATATTACAGTATACACATATAGACATACACATACAAAACCTTCCAATGGTACATAACAGAAGAACAGAAATACCGTTTGAGAGGAGATGTGAAGTAGTGTGAGCTCCAGCCTCATCCATCATAGCAGAAAGTCAATAAAGCCTAAAATTAATGAATCAAAAAATAGCAACAGTTATATAAAATTAAAACATGAGTTTAAACTAAAATAACACATTAAAAGATTTGAAAGAGATTGAAAGAGATTTGAAAGAGATTGCCTTTGGTGGAGAGAGGGGATTATTTTGTTTTAAGGCTCTACTGTTCTTTTTAATACAGGTGCACACATGAGTTTGACTGAAATTTTAAAGCAACCTCTTAAAAGGAGGTGTACCAGAATCAGGTAATATATTAAGTGCCACCCTTGCTTTTGGGATGCCTGGATTCCAGGCACTTGTGTAAATTTTTAGATAAATAAAACACACAGGGTTTGCATCAGAAGACCTGCACACCTTGCTTCCATCTGGTTGTGATGGCTCCCACTGGTCAGATTCACCTCACCGTAACTTTGTGTATATATCTCTCACCCTCTGCTTCTCTGACCAGCATCCTGTCATTAGAAGGAATTCCAAAATTGGAGTTAGAGGGCTGGGTTAGAGAATAGACAGCATCTACTAATTCTGAATGAAGCAAGGCCCTCAACTTGCACTGTGCCTGTCCAGTCTTTGTGTGCTTCAGGTGTGATATAAATGAACCCAAACCAAGGACTTCTTCACCTCTCTACAGGTGTAGCTGAAGCCTGAATGGAGTGGCACCTCCACCCCACATTCCCCAAGGCATTGTGAGCAGTTTCTCAGTGCAGCCTGGGAGGACAGGAATGAGGACCTGGTCTCTCCTCCCCAGGTGGCCACGTGTGCTGAGCGTGGGCTTTCTCTCTGCCTCGTGGCTGTGCAGTGATTAATGCCAAGTGAGCGCCTTGCTCAGTGACCTTTCAGTTTTCACTGCTGCTCTCCTTCACTTCTCATAACTATTTGCAAATATTAGCTCCCCGGGTCGTTTCTCCTCATCAGCAACTTTCACAGGTGATAAGCGGGTTGCTCCTCACACTGGCCTTCAGTACACGCCTGTCCTGGTGTGTCTGGGCTCAGGTCTCCAATTAGGAATGGGTATACAGCCCATAGTCCCTGAAGTCTGTGAGTGACCCCCCCCCCAGGAGGCCCTGGAGAGGGGCTCTGGAGGCCCAGAGCTGGGGGAGGAGGGAGGCATCTCTTGCACCCCAGGTGACCCAGGGTCTATGAGATTTGGCCCCCCATGATGCAATCAGTATGTACATTTAAGAAAATTAATTTGCTGACTCAGCCTGCACCAAATTCCCCCCTCCCTTTTAACTTCACATGGATGTTTAACGCACAAGTCACTCCCTGCTTAGTCAGTAGACACGAGACACAGAGCTGTGGGAAGTCTCTGATAGTTAGAGGCCATCCTCCCGCCTTTCAGTCCTTCCCCATGGTTGTGAATCCTCCATAGCCAGCAGGCCAAAAGCTTACCTTGGCCAGAGTTCTGCTGGGATGGCGGCAGGCTCTTCCAAATGAAGTGCTAGAGAGGGCATTTTGCATTTGAAGTTGTTTAAATTTGTTTTTATTTCCAGTCTCTTACATCTCCACTCTTATTGAAATCCCTATTCTATAAACGTTGTTCACTCTTCATTTTCCCTAAATAAACAGTAGTAAAGTGTGCTGTGGGTTGTTTAATTTTGATGCTAAATGTGTCTTTGAGGAAAGTGGCAAAAATGCATCCTATTTTTTTCTCCCTCGTCACCAGAAATATGAGCTAAATTATTTATGGTTTGATACTCACAAAACAGAGATAGATTCAGGATATTTACTTTGCAGAAAGAAAAAGGGATTGGAACTGCAGTAAAAGAACTTTATACTTTGTGAAAGGAATGTGTGTGCTCCTGGGGAGTCACACAGCAGCTGCTTTTATTGATGTGTCAGGAGTGCCTGACGTGACGTATTTGTGCAGCTGACTGAATTTGAATATAAGAAGCATACTAGGCAACTCAATAAGCAGGTCTTAAATCGATGAAAAAAATAATAGTAAAGCCAGGAAGCATTTTGAAAAATGCTCAGTAGGTGAAAGTCCCTTAGCTACAGGATGCACAGAGCAGTAGGGGGACGCCTTCAGGTATCTTGCATTCTAATCCCTGGCTGGAATTCCAGCAGAGGAGACTTGCTGTGTGTGGACCATGCTACCTAAAATCTGACAGAGGCCTGGCTCCTCAGAGGAGGATCTAGCAGGTCACAAGATCCTGGGTTTCCTATCAACATAACCTGACAAGACCCTCCATCTGTCATATCCCCATCGTCCCATCTTCCATTGTGTGGAGAGTTCCATGGGTTTCTGTTTTCTTTTCTCTGCCACAGGAGATACTGGCACACCTGAAGCCATGGCCCCCAGCATTGTGGTTGCCCCCGGCAACAGGAGCGTGGTAGCTGGGTCCAGTGAGACCACCTTGGAGTGCATAGCCAGTGCCAGGTACGGTCATGCTCTAGATATGGCCACATAGATGGAGCATCCCGCATTTGAAACCATGAAGCTTGAAATACTCCACAGTTTGAAACTTTCAAGAATTAACATAGTGACACACATGAAAAATTATACCCCTGACCTCATGTGCTGGGTCAGTGTGAAAACACAGGTGCACTAAAAATGTGCAGAGACCACTTCAGGCTATGTATGTGAAGTGTAGATGAAACTTCAATGAATTTCATCTTTAGACATGCGTCCCATTCCTAAGGTATCTCATGATGTAGTATGTGCACATATTCCAAAACAAAAAGTCTAAAATACAAGATACTTGCGGTCCCCAGCATTTTGGATAAGGGCTGCTGAACTTGTACTAAAAAATACTCCCTGAGGTGAGCCCGCAGTGGGAAGAGAAACGCAAGAGCTCTCTTCTTCCAGCAACAGCAGCTTGCTTGTTTGCCTATGCACCATGCACAGGAGACAGGGACCTGGGGGCTGAAGTACTCCCCAAGTGCCCTCCTTTATTAGGCAAATGAAATGATTTTCATTTTAGACGTAGATGATGGTGGAGGGCCTGATCTGCAGTGTCAGCCGGGGAGGAGAAGGAACAAGGCTCTAAGTAACAAAGGAAAAATGTCAATCCTTCTCCCACTCTGTCATCCTAGGTGTTCTCCTCCCACTTCTGGTCACTCCAGAATCCAGTTCGAATGGTCACACCTCCCACGTAGCTATAGTGTCCCCTAGTAGTATTTGTTTTAAACATTCTTTTCATGAGCAAATGGAATCATTAGCACTTATGGTCCATTGCTACTGCAATTAGCTATCCTTGCTCAATAGCCCTTGAGCAGAATATGTTGCTATACTTGCCGTGAGGGAGTAGAGCTGTATCTGGATTGATTTTTAAATGTCCATTGTTCAACCCGCCACAGTTTCTGCTAGAATTAGCTTTGTCAAGCCGGTGCTGAATGCCTGAGATTATTATTATTGCCATCTACATGATTCACAATCATTGTCACCAATGCCCTTGCTCTTGCAGGCCTGTGGAAGAGCTGAGTGTGCACTGGAAGAGAAATGGTGTGAGACTCACTAGTGGTCTCCACAGCTTCGGAAGACGCCTCACCATCTCCAACCCAACCTCCACAGACACAGGGCTTTATGTTTGCGAGGCAACACTGCGAGGGAGTGCTTTCGAGCCAGCCAGAGCCAAGGCCTTCCTTTCCATCATAGGTAAATACTCAAACAAGAAAATGGTCCTGTCAGCATCCTCAGATAGCATCCCAACCCCAACACTTCCAGGCCACAAAATGGCAATCCTGTGTCTTACCCCTTTATGGTTAAGATTCTTTCTATTCTTTTTTTCCAATAATATGAATCCATTAAATCTAAAATGGGGATGTTCCTAGTACTTCCAGGAAATTTCTTTTGAACATGTCCAATCCTGAATCTTAGGCAAAGTCCTCATCATGGAAATCACCTGCCTAGTCTGCCTTTTCTGCCCCCGGCCTCTCCCTGACCTTTTCTGGCTATTACAATCTGTGTTTAGAAGTTGTTCTATTATTGTTATTAATTTTTGACTGAGAAGGATGATAAAATTATTGAATGTTACTTTTCGTTAAATTGAAAGATGAGAAAAGAGCTGCATCCTTAAAATGGGCTAAGTATTCACCCAGAAACAAGAACAGGAGATAAGGTTAAGCACATATGAATTGCCTAGTTCTGGATGCTGGAAAATAACAGTGATCAGGAAGCATGCTTGGTCCAATGGCTAAAGAAATCTTAAATTTTATCAGATTATGAAAAGATTACATTAAATTGAGAGGCATGTGCCTTCATTTCTTTGATTCCTCCAGTCTCAGTCATAATCATGCATTTATTCCTAAGTGACAGTGATTAGAGTCCTGGTGACCCACTGTCCTCCATGCGGGCCACTGCTGATCAAACTGCCTCAGAGGTCAGCTCCAGGAAGGACAATTCCTGCTGCATCTTGCTTTCTGGAGGAAAGGGAATCAAGAATAGGAAAGATCCAGTAGGAAGAAATCCTTCAGCGAGCATTAGCTCTTCCAATAATATGTCTTGCAATTTCTCACTCTGCAAAACAAGAAAAAAACAAAAACTTCTACATTCCTATGCAATTAGCAAGAACATCAGAGAGTTTTGAATCAAAGCCAGTTGGCTTAAGCATTGTCACATTCCCCTAGATAGTAGGAGGTGGGTTTGTGCCCCCCGTGTGACTGTAGTAAATACAATGTCACATAGGCCTATCGGCCCCTCTAAAAAAAAATGAGAATGGAGAAAGTAGCTGAGAAAGGCCTGGGGTCAGAATCACTACTGCTTCCACATTTGAGGCCTGAGCTACTCCTGCCACCACCTCCTCCCTTCCTCACTGCACATCCCATTCTCTGCAGAGACTTTTCATCAAGGTTGATCTATGGCTATATGAACACAGCACATTATAGATTGAACCAAAATTAAAATTTGTGATGTGTAAATCTCTAGTAGACAGGACTATATTGTGTTAAAATATTTTAAGGTAATTTAAACAAGAGAGAAAATTTATCTCCCTATAAACTAGAATGTTTGTTTCAATCATAATTCCTTTCTCAAGTATTTAAATCTATCATGTGAACTTTGGTCTTGCATTTATATCAGAATTCTAAGGCAGATTGTTTCTGTGTTCTGCAGTTTTCATCTCTGTGGTCTGACTTTTAAAGGCACACAAACACACTTCACTTCTTATGATGCTGATTTAAATCGCCTTTTATTCTTAAGAATTTGCTGCGACAGGTGGAATTTTGTGGTCAGGTCACACTGGAAAAACCCAGAAGAGAGTGTCTCTGTCAATTCAGGGGATTTGAGTGAGATTATCACCCCATGCCCAGACTCCTCAGAGGGATCCTCTGGAAACAGGACCGGTCTCACAGGGCTGTCACCGGTGGAACCGGGAAAAGAGCTATCAATGTGAACATGCAGATGAAAGAAAGCAGAAACAAATTGGCTCCCAATTACTTTTATTTCACACTGATGAGACAAGACAGACTGTCTGCAGCTGTTTACTCCACCTGTCACCTTCCCTGCAACACTGCTCATTTCCTGTGATTTGAACAGGAGCCCCCAGCTCGAGTCCTGGCAGCGCGGTACCCACTCTGCCAGAGTCAACAGGCTCCAGGGCCTGTGGTCTCTGTCCTCACCACCTCGCTGCACTCAGTTGTGTTTCTCTCACTCACAGACCTCCTCCTGAGCAGCTCCTCTGCCCCTTCCACGTGACACACTCCAGATCACTGCCATGTTCCCTGGATGAACCAAGACAGTGACACCACAGGTCCCATGTCCTCTCTGCTTCAGAGAACAACTTCTCCCTGTGCCACCTGCCCCTCCTTTGTCTCAGTATCCTCCAGCCACTGGGGCCGACTTTGCCAAGCATGGTAGGCAAGAAGTGCAGAGAATCCACATCCCAGGAGCAGCCCTTGGCAGTGTCTGGTGGAGCTGACAGACACACACCCAAGCTCCCTGCTTCTCATGGGTAGGGATGTTTAGGGTGTATTCTACACTGGATCATGAGTTACCTTGAGGGGTACCACACAAGGCACCCACAGTGGAGCTGCCTTGGTGACACGCTTTTTGCAGTGACCTCCCTGCCTGGAGTGCTGCCACTGCTCCCCCTCTGCACTGCTGGCATCCAGCCCTGCCAGGACCTCCTCTGGGGAACCACCACAGACAGATCCTACACATGACAGTGCTTGGAAGGCTGCCTTTCTGTCCTAGATCATCTGAGCTGTTGAAGAGGGGCCGGACTCTCCCCTTCAAGACCCTCTCAGATGTCACCTCTGCTGATAGTCTCTCTCATTTGTGCACTGTAGCATATGGAACATGCCAGAAGGGTTCACGGCATAAAATATAATACTGTGGACTTATGACTCATGACTTCACCAGTAACTGTCCTGAGCAGATGTCTTTGCTGTTGGCCTCAGTTTCCACATCCCTAACCTAGAAACATGCCACCAGCTTGCACAACCCAGTGTTGCCACAGGAGCATAAGACGGCTCCATTTGCTGTTGGCCTAACTCTGCTATAACAGATCGCAACCACTAGTGAATTACCTTCATCAGTTTATGTACACACACTTCTCATGCTTCCTATCTCTGAAGTCAGGGTGTGCCTCCCGGATATGGAAGCCTTGTTTCTTGCTGGGGATGTGTGAATCAATGATTCCTTTAACTAGCTGCAGCCTCTTAGATTTAGGGGCACAGCTTGTGCACCTTCCTGTCCAAACCAACAGACTCCACTTCTGCTCCTCACACCAAAACAGTGCCCTTCACCCTCTTGCCTACCCCATGAGTGTGCATTCCCTGGCACCCCAGCTTTCACCTCCACTCAGAAACCCAGGAGGGTGACAGCGACTGGTACAGAGAGCCATCTCTATATGTCTCAAATCTGTTCTAACTTTTATGCACAAGTCATTCAGAGATTCAAATCCTACCAGGTGTGGTGGCACACACCCGTAATCCCAACATTTGGGAGGCTGAGATGAGAGAATTGCCGTGAGTTCAAGACCAGCTTGGGGTATATAAGTGAGTTCAAGGAGAGCCTGCACTACGTACCGAGACCCTATCATTAAAAAAACAAAAGAAAAAGAAATTCAAATCCCTTAAGTATCATTAAATGAACAGACTATTGATAGCATGTCTCAGCTGATTCCAGTATCACAGCTGTGAAGTTATTCTGTAGCTTTACCCTGAGGTCTTCTGGTGATGAAACGCTTAAATGTTCATGTCCCTGTATAAATTCCTCCCCACCTGTCTGCCTGCCTTCCCACTTCAAATCTCTCTGCCCTCTCTTTGACCTCCCCAGGTAAGACAGTTTACCACTTTTTAAGGGCTCATGAGAGTAGACCAGGTCTAGCCAAGACAGGCTCCCAATTGACCACTTTTTATATTGGTAATCTTGCTCTCATCCACAAAGCCACTCTTCCTACCTAGCAGCGTACCCACAGGTTCTGGAGACTCGTGGGAGATTGGACACCACAGTGGACCAGTATGGATGGTGATAGTAGCCAAGGACACACCATCTGCTCCCGGAGGAGAAGATCTCTGCTCAAGATGATTCATCCACAGTGGACCTTCCCCACAGTTCAGCTTATAGTCCTCAGAACTGAAGTCCTCAGAGCCTGTATTTACCCCACTTTTCCTCCTCCTAGAAGACTTTGTAAACAGTAGCTATGGATATAGAGAATTTTCAGAGCACCTGCCTAGTCAGGAGAACGTGCAGGGCAACCAGCAAGATTGGGGTGGCCTATATATGGTGGGGAAAGGACTAGGAAGAGCAGATGCCTCAGGGCCTGAAGGGCCAGCAGCAGCTCCATGCCCATTCTGCTTGCTGGCTGGGCCCCTGGCAGGAACAGGGGAGAGTGTCTGCACTGAACCAAGGTGCTCTGCCCTGCCGAGCCATCCACGTGAGCTGTGCAAGGACCTGGCAGGCTGACCTTCCCAACCAAACACTGCAGAGTGTGGAAGGGGAGCTCCTCCTTGGGAGGGCCTGGTGCACTATGACCACATGGGGACCAGCTGGGCTGGGGTGACAGTGATTGGGAGGAGTGTCCTTGGCCAGGTCTGGAAGTCCTTAATGCACATCCCAGTTCCAAAGTTGCTGAGTAGTAGCCGCCTTGTCTCTGGCCCCAGCTGGGTTACTTGAGGAAGCTGGGGGCATAATCACTCCCTGGGGGAGGGTGCTGTGGTCCTGGGTATGGTGGTCATACATATATACAGATTATGTTATCAAGTATAACTCATTGGGACAAAATTTCAGTGGAATTAAGCTGGTTGAAAAAACCCACTTCCAAATGTGACATCCTGTGTTGTTACTGAGTTGGCTCACTAAGCAAAAATATTCCAGGTCATTCTTGCCGTGAATAAACAATTGTGTGAGACAAGTCATAAAAGATTCCAAAAGTTTATTTGAAAAATTCAGGGTGAAGGGTTATGGCAGGAACTAGCTCTGCAGAGTGAATTTGGGAAGAACAAGAAAAAAAGAAGATAAAAGCAAAAATAACAGTACATGATGCATCTGGGAAACGCAGCATGGGCTATTGTAGAAAGTCATGATAGTGGGCACCCTGTGGCATCTCACATCTCTCTCATGCTGTCCACATTTCATGGGAGCCTGCAAGAAATTCCACATATGGGGTCCTCAGAATTCTTTGATGCTACCCTGGGATCTTGTAATTGACATGT